CAAGCATTTGCTTTTCTGTGGGAAGTGGGACTCCAAAATTGAGCATCAACAGACGCATAACATTCAGAATGATTTAAAAGTAGAATTTTTGGACTCAAACATCTGGTAATAATAATACAACGCTAAAGTGATCACCATAGAAAGTAGTGATCAGCACTTTCAGAACCTAAGCATTAACTTACTTGCTTGGAGGCTGTAAAGAGAAGCAAAACGCTCAGCATTTTTTCCTTCTAGACATAATCGATTTCATCAAACATGTGCCTGACCTGTGGCAATGGTTTTCAGCGATTGTTGTCTAACACAAATTCAATTTAAACAAACGAGGGTCTAGATAGGAGTTGGGTGATAATAAGTTATATTTAGAAGTGGAATTTTAATGTTGGTTTTGATAAGTGAAAACATGTCATACAAAAGCAACCAAGATGTCTGAGTACTCTGGAGTGAAGGTACTCACTATCTCATTCACTGCTACAATAAGATCTCTACGAGCCTTGGCAAATCGCTTTAGTTGACCACCAATCATATGGAACAACAAGGCATCGAGGGTTAATGAAAGTGACATACCAGGTCTCTGTACTTTTACAGCCACTAGCTCTCCAGAATGCAGGTGAGCTGCAACACTTGAAAGTAACAACAGTAAACACTTAATTTTCCTGAAGCATGTAAATCCTTCTCTAGATACTGAAACGAACTTTCAACGAGCAAAGGGAGTATTAACTATAATCAGAACAAACTCCCAATCATTTCAAAAAAGCTAACCTTTATAAACTTGCCCTAAGGATGCTGCTGCAATAGGCTCTGGGCTAATGTCACTAAAGATCTCGGAAACAGGGGCACCTAGCTGGGTTTCTATAGATCTAATGGCAATATGAGTTGAAAATGGGGGTATTTGATCCTGACATGAAAAAGAAATTAATAAGGCTTAGTCAGTGCCAGACAAGCTGACACAACACAATAGAGTGGCATGAAAAAAAGGATGTGCAGCAATCAAATAGATTCTTTCAAGTATAAATGAAGAGGCCTGTGTACCTGTAGCTTAGCAAGTTCTTGGCAGTATATAGTTGGTAGTATGTCAGGCCTCGTGCTCAAAGCCTGGCCAAGCTGTAACAGTAAGAAGATTCAAAATAAAGAACTGTCCTTAGAGTATATTGAAATCTAAGATAACAGAATTGTTTATCCTGGTTTCACTAAGTATGGTCTCAATAGATGAAGCTGGAAAAATGGAAACAAAGAGAAAATCATCTTTTCGTGGTTGGTTTTTCCTTGCATTTACTCCAGAAGCCAACAAATCTTATATCTACAATTTGCATTTTTGCAGCACTGTTCATGGTACGAAAAGCCACGGGCTCTCATTGTCCACAAAACAAACTTGTACTCACACACACAATTGCCTTTCAATCCTTGGACTCCACAAATATTTCATCCTTAAACCCTCCAAGAAAACCCTACTTAATGAATTTCTAAGCCTTCTTCTGCGCAGCATGAGAATTATAGAAAATAAATGTTCATCCAGTGGAGGCCAAGAGAAATAGTGAGTGGCATAACTGAGAGCAACCATGAATTGCATACAAAATTGCCACAAAGATATTGACTTGGGAGAAAAGAAATTGCGATGCAATTGAAATGCAATGCTTCTTCTGACTATGATTTGCTAACTTCATCAGCTATTTGCATCACAAGATTCAGGTGCCGTCACTCGTTTTCAGATAGAAGTGAAGCAAGCCTAGCAGTACTGGCCCATTAAGCATGTTCCTAGCATGGATAGTGTTTCACAAAGAATGGCTACATGCTTATTGAAGAGTATACAACTTTTATTTGTTTAGTATTTTTTTTTAAAAATTATTCATCTATTACTTTATTTGTGGTCTTTGCCTGCAAAATGATCATAAGGCCAAACAACAAATATCTTGAGTTCATAAACACTTCCATTTTGCTATTTTGCCCATTGATCGTGTTCGCATATCCAGTGTGTGAAAAACTGGTGCCCTTGGCAAATTTAAGTATTTTCCCACTTTTTAAGAACAACAAAATGAATGGACAAATGATGAATCAGAGTCAGTATAGAATTAGGAAATAACATGTACAAGAAACTTGCCTTAACGTAGAAGGGACCCAAGCGTATTAGAGTTTTGCGAAACTGCAAAAATTGTACAGAAATCACTGTTCATCCCACTCAGTCACTTCTCCCCCAACAGATATAAACCAATGAGTCCGTACACTGTTGCTGGGGGGGAAGGTCAATGGAATACAACTGAAAATCAAAGTAAAAGGGAACTAATTTTATGCCATCTCCCAAAATCAAAAGTATAAGCAAATATGCCAGGGGTTTGATAACACATGTGAATGTGATGGTAAGATCCATAATTACAGTAGACGGCGCAAATGCAATGCAAAGTTTTGATATAGAAAATAAATTACCTTGATTGCACGCTTTTCTATGTCTTGAACAAAAAGCTGCCAAAATGCTAGCCTGAACACATGAAATGAAATAATAGCTGCCCTGTACAAAGCCAGAAATGGGCCAAAACGATAGACAGTGGAGAAAGTTTTGGAGCCATAAGTTCCAAGAGCAAGCCCAAATTCACTTTCTAATGATTCTCTCCTAAGCTTTGCATACTCAGCAGATGGCTTGTCCCCATGCACACTGGTGAAGCCAGTGGAATACCTGCACCAATATCCCCAAGCTCAGGTGCAACAACCCCGGAAGAAGACTCCAAGAACGAGACATTTGAAACCATAACATATGAGGGACAAAAGAATTTTGCACTAATCTGATTCAAGGTAGCAATCCACTCACAAATTTGATGCAACAAGCAAGATGGCAACCAGCCAACATCTGATCTCCTCGCAGCCTCAATGTGCTTAAGACATCCGAGTGGCATGCATTTGCGTAAAATGACTTCAGTTGCACTCATGTGCTGTAACTCTGCAAGATAGGTGCTCCCATAATGAGATAACCGCACTAAAAAACAGTTTAGATGAAGAAACAATAGTACTCAATGGCTAATACCACAATAACGCATTTCTCCAACAGATGAAAAACTCAGCTCTCACACATCATCCAGCAAATTCACAGACTACCAAAACAACATCTTTCCCTATCAGTTAACAAATAAACAGTCGAAGTACCGCTACTCCTAAATATTTCGATTGAAACACCTCTTAAAATCGCTTAAACATGAAATTAACGTAAACTAGAGTCAACGGCAACAACAGAACATTCCAATTGCAGAAATCACGCAGACAAAGTCTAGTTTGTAAAATATAGTGATGATAAAAGGAAAGTACATAATAAACAAGCAACTACGTTAGAAAATCAAACCTAACCTAAAAATCAGCTACGTTAACACGTAACAATGCAAGGTACCCTGATCAACCGATCAACTTTTACACTAAATTCGCACAGAATGGGGAGCATTAGATGAAGCTAAAATTGTCAGGAAAGTATCTAGCGGTTATACTTCTGGAGAGAACCAAGGCGCCACGGCGACGGTAGATAGTCGCAAAGGTGAAGGCATTCCTCATTGACCGATGAGAAAATCTTCGACGGAAGTTCAGTTAGAGCAGATTTCGCAGAAGTGACGCATGGAAGAAATCTGAACACAAACTGTTTGAAACAATGCGCAGCACAAACCAGTAAGCCAACACAAATAGGAAGCCCGGGCGGCCTGACATTGATATGGCGCGAACAGCGCTATGCCTCTGTGCGCCTTGAAGGAAGGGCGAGAGAGAGGTAGTTGCTTGCGAAGCTGTAACTTGAGCGCTCATCAAACTGACACGTCCCGAGTTTAGGAGGCACTTGGCAACATTGATGGGCACGAACCGCCCTGGACGAATGACCGATGGTTGAGCCTTTTGGTGATTGCAGCTCCCGGTTATACGACTTGCCCTCACAGAGCCAATTAAAAATGTCAAAGCTTTCAAATATTTTTTTTTAAAAAAAGGCGTAACTCCTTATAATTTAATTCAATTTCAAATGAGGTCATTATATTTTGTGTCCGTTTGGATTAGCGATTAGAAAAGTAGCTTATTGAAAAAGTAACTTATGGATAAGTGAAGTTGGGTAAAAGCTAAATTGTGTTTGAATTGGAGTTTAAAAAAGCTAGTTTGCAAAAGTAAGATTGATAAAGTTGTTTGGATTATGGTTGAGTAAAAGTAAGTCTGATTGTAAAATGACCAAAATGAGTATGAGTTTTAATAAATAACGAAACATGATAAAAAAATTTGTATAATATAATGAATTTAAATTAATTTAATATGAAGAAGTGAAATTTAACAGGTGATTTAAAATTTAAAATTTAAAAATAAAAAAAAATATTTTAAAAATGAAGCTCCTTGGACGGCAAAGTAATGAGCCTTTACGTTAATCTGAGAGGGGTCATGGGTGATGAAAGCTTGATAAAAAAAAAAGAGTAAATAGGGAATAATGATAGAAGTGGGAGAACAACAAAGGAGGAAATATAAAAAAAAGGACCCTCTGACAGCAACGAAAATTGTGGGAGAGCTGAGGTGAAAAAAACGAAGAAAGTTGAAATGAGAAAATATGGCAGAAGTGAGAGAAAAGAAACTCTGGTAGAATATAAGCTTTTTAATAAGCTATAAAATTCAGCCTGAGAGACAACGTACGTTTGCTGGCTTAAATTTCATAAGCTCCTTTTTTTTTTTAAACCCAACCAAACAGCATGATTTTTCCAATCGGACTTACACTACAAATAAGCTACTTTTAAGCCTCTCAAAAGCCCTGTCAAACGGACCCTTTATAATGCATGAGTATTAAAACAATATAGAATGAAATGAAGGAAAAAAGTAGAAAACAATGTATATGTTAAAAATACAACGGCTTAAAAATATAAATTTCCTAGGAAAATCGAACTGCAACGTTTTTTTTCTTTTTAGGAAAAAAGGTCGCATTTTTTTGGACAAAAAGAAAAAGATTGCAATTTTATTTCAACAGAAACACGGCGCAAGTATCTTTTGCCGCCTATTTAAGTAACACGTAATCTTCTAATGGTAAGAAACCCTCGGTAAAATGTTCGCAGTTCGCACTTTTACTTGGCGGGGTTCAGTTGGGGCCTTGGGTTTTTGAGTTTTACGTTACTGAGAAGTGAGAAGAATTTCCGGAAGGGTAAAAGGCAATTAGGCAAGAAATCGATGCCTGTCCTGTAACTGTAAGTGACATACGAAACAGTGGTTTCACCCTGATAGAGCTTTTTATTGCGTCCTATTTCTGTCTGTGACGTTTACAACTTTCTTCAACAATGGCAAACGAGCAGCAGACATTGCGACCATGGTTCCTCGACCTAGTACCTTTTTGGTGGTTGTCTTAATAGCAGCTCATGTCCTCGCTTTGGTACTCATTCACTCGTCGATCTTCTTCCTTTAATGTTATCTTTTGCTTTTCTTTATCTCGTATTGCCAGAAACTGGTGATCTTTTTTTTTTTTTAATTATTTACTCTTGTGATTTTAGGTATACTGGATTTACAGATTAGCAACTGAGAGACAACCGCAGCGGAGAAAGGCTCACTAGGAACAGATTGATCTGTTAAGCATTGAAGCCGAAGGTTGGTGAACCCTAATTGATCTGCTGGAAATTTTAATCAGTCATCGAGCTATGATTTTTCTAACCATTGTCAATAGATAGCGAAATAATCCATGATTCTGTAGTCATTGCTCAAAGTACTTGTAACTTGAAGTGCTGGAATTGGACTGGTTTGAAGTTGAAATCCATAATGACGAGTTTATGTGTTGGTTTCATCATATGATTAAGCACACCTTATATTATCGGGATTTTGATCAATAGTTCATGTGGATAAAAGTCTGAATTGAGCAATTCATTGATTCTGACTTAGTTATCTTAAGTTCTTGACTTTAGTTGTATGCCAAATTCAAACTAATATAATGCTCTGCAAAAGTTTGTCTGGGTGTATTTTGCTGTCACTATAATCTTACCAATGGCATACAGAAATTGCTGATTCATTGGGGCACTGTGTGAAACTGCTCGGAATCATGTTATACTGTACGTACAAGCATGTTGGGAGCAGTTGGAATTTATTATTCTAACATTAGGATCCATCACTTGCCTATGTGCCCAATGGTTTTAGTTTTCACTAGAATCTAATGATACGGCTTTAAAGTCGTTGAGATCGTAAGTTAGTGATTCCTCTGTCTCAGCTATTTTATACTGGGCTGTCACTGTCAGACTTAAAGATGAATGTGTTTATATGAAATGATATGAAACATGCATGACTGAACAGGAAACCCCAAAGCAATAGGTAGGGTGAAAGATATAAACAATTTTGAAATATGATTGAATATTACTGAGTTCTCTGTAGAGTTAGTTTAACTCTGGGTAATATCTGCTGGTTGGATGCTGCACAAAATTCTTAAGTTGGTTGTGTTTCACTATTTTGCCATAAGGAAATAGTTTGCTTGGAAAATTAGGTTAAGCTGCAATCAACTTCATTTTTTATGCTGCCTCGTTGCTGTTGTATTACTTTTTATTTGTATTTTTTCTGTACCTGGGAAGAGCTACTGGTTTCAGGATGAAAACCTACTTAATATACTAAATATATATTCTACCGCACTGTTCAATTGTGCCGTTTCCAGTATCCTTATATCTTCCATCCTAGCTTTTAGAAACTTTTCTTTTATCACATTGAACTCCTATGATCATTCATGATCTGTAGACTTTGGCTTAACAAGTCATACTCTCTGTTTTCTTCATGCTCCATTGAAACTAATTGAACTTCTGTGTTCCGAGGCAGTGGTGGTTTCTTTCTTTGCGCAGTCCTCTCTTTGGAATTTTCTTTTCTTGCACTTTGAAATCCTCTCTACCTTATTTGTTTCTACGGTGGCAATGGAAACAAAATCCGGTGGAGAATTGTTTGGGAATAGGGATATATGAGAATAGCCATTGAATGTGAGCTAAGCAAAAGAAAAAAGAAAAAACGTGAATATTAACAAAGTTATTCAATGATGGCAGCAAGTATGTAAACAAAGTCGAAGATGACTAAATAGTGTGTTTTTGTCCAACCTTGTATAATAATGTGGAACAACATAACATCAGCCGATGAAAATTTGTTGATGAATGGTGGAGATTCAGTAAGGTTCACTGGGTAAGTTTCCTTCAAAATTTAGAGAATTTCTATTCAAGTTACATCTGGGCACAAATAGAACTTGAATGCTGATGAAAGTTTCTATTTTTTATTGTCTGCTGCGAATAGTTAATAGGGAATGTGATATTACAATGTTCACTCAACCCCTCATATCAATTGTTATTCTAATGGGATTGATTGTTAACGCATGGTATTGTGTTTCCCCCCAAAGTAAGCGTTACCAAAAAAGTGACGACTCAAAAGTTATCTGCTGACACCTTCACCTTCCTTTCATCATCCACCACCTTCCAACAGTGAGGTGGGGGTTGAACAAAGTTATTGAAACTTATTACACTATCTTTAGTAAATCTAGCCAAAGAATGAGCACAGGAGTTAGCTTTTCTATGCATAAGATTCACTGGCTGTGTTTTTTATAGTGCTTGTTCAAGGTCAGATTTTTCCCCATGCAGTTATCGTATTTTCCTGCACACTGATTAGAAAATGAAAATGAAAGGTCATAAGATATTCACAAGTGACTTAATGTGATTTTTCAACACAATTCAAGTATATATTGAAACTATAATGCTGGTATCTGATGGAAACTAAGGTTTTGCCACCTCAATAACTAGCTTTAGGGGGCAGGTTTCCATCTTACTTATGAGTGTTGGATACCCCAATCTCATATTGAGTTATATGAGAATTGAGACACTTTATGGGGCATTTTAAGTGGATTGTTTTCCTTCTCTTCAATAGCTGGCTCTTGAAAGATGGTTCCTCATATCATTTTTGTAATCATCAGTATCCTACAAGTTATGGTCTTCTGAAGCATGCAACAAAATTGCTGTCATTATTTATGAGAAATAATAATTTCCCTTCTGATTCTAGTTGTCTTTTTAAGAAAATAAGAAGGTCAAAAGATCTTTCAGCATTCATTGCCTGTATGACTTACATTAGAGCATAGAGTGTCTACTAAATTATGCAGCTAAAAACGGGACACAATGTGTAAATCCTGTGGCAATTTTTTACTTGTTAACTGGATTTTATGCAACTAAATTATTGCAGTGATCCAAGTTTACCTTGAAGGAAATTTGGCTGCGGACATTACAAAATCGGCATAACAGATCTTGAGGGGTTATTTGGATCATCCTGTCCTAGGTCTCTGAACATCATTGCTATTTCATCTGTATGGAACTGGTGTTAGCGAGGGCTAAAACGGTCGACTGCTTTGTGGTGTGTCTAGGATTCAGTTATGGATTCTAGTTTGGTCTATGTGGCCAGTGGGCGTGCTTGAGTTATATTTGTCCCCGTTTGCTGTCATGTAAATGAAACATTTTTTAGGCAATGAAGTTTTCTTTCCGTTTGGCCAAGAAAATTACATCAATGGATTCAGTTGTCAGGCAATTGCAATGGTGACATCACTGAGGTGCTATTCGTTTGGCATATAAGAACACAGATAAAAAGATCCCAAAAAGATTTCTTCTACGCGGTACTTCCCTTCTAGTGAAGCATCGCGCAAGTTCCCATATTCACAAAATAAGCAGTCTTATGTTGGACTCCTAGTGCTCTCTTTTCTTCTTACTGAGAAAAATTGTATGCACCAACCAGGGCGAGCTTTTGCTGTTCCACTCTCAAGTTCCATCCATGTGCATTGCTGGTACACACAATACTTACTTGGAGGTGCATTATTGAGTTGGGCTGCACGTGCCCAGGTGTTTCCTTTCATTTGAAAAAAATGCCCAATCCAAAATATAGAAAACATATGCAGAAGTTAGGAGCCGTCATGGGGGTAAGATACAGAGAAACAAGAAAGACAGGAAGGCGAAAGGGAGGAGCATCATGGAATGACTGGAGAGTTCAAGAAGCCCGTCTGAAGGGTTTAGGAACTTTTTATTGTCCGCACTTGTGGATTTCTTTGATCCTTGTCTTTGTGTGTCGCTGTCGGAATCGTGGACGATGACATCTATGTAAGTGCGGTTTGCCGTCTGCGCTCTCATGTCACCTCAATGTAATGGTTAATTGACGTCGCTATCACAAGCGTTGAGAAAACAACATGCTACCTGTTTTAACTTGCCTTTGCCGACATGTTTGCGTCAAAAATCTCCAGCTTCCTCTTGTCTTCTTCTCCTGCCATTTTCTGGCCCAAGTCACCCAAGCGGATGCTTCTGCATTTATAAGTGTAACTTAGCCTATGTTTGGATGGAGGGAAATTAGGAGGGAAATTAGGAGAAGGTAAACTCCCAAAATAATAATTCTTTTTACTATGTTTGGGAGTTTTTCTTCCTAGTATTCCTTTCCTTTATGTTCCTCCCTCTTTTACCTTCATCCAGGCGCAGCTTTATCGGTATGGAGGCTTGATATTTCAATTTAAAGTGTGGGTGGCGCTTGTGTTCATATGGATTTGAATCCCCTCGGTTGGAACATCAGATCGTGATCTAATGATATTGAGTAAAAAGTTAAAAATTTATTTTTTTTAAAAAAAACATTGGTATTTGCCTCAACACTATTAGATTACAATATGATTGTTAGCATCTCCCAGACGAAGTTCAGTTGAAAAAAATACTTGTATGAAATTGGTTCAGATTGTGAAAACAAGAAAGGGCTGTGTAGTTTTACATGTTTAGGCTATTTTCATGAACATGTTTTGATCAGGGTGGCCCATGTAAATATGAAGTGATGTTTATGGACAATGAATACATGCGGATATATATATATATATATATATATATCCATCCCTTTTAACTATGAACATATACATATACTGAAATTTTAATAAAGTAGAAATACATTCATGAGTAATATTGGAAACTTTGATCGAACATTTTACCCTATGTTTAGTACAAGGAAAGTGGAGGAAAAGGGAGAAGAGGAAAAATTTTAATGCACTTGATTTTAGAAATTGAAAAAGTGAGGTTAAAGCTTTTAATTAATTTTTATTAATCTTTTATTTTACAACTTCTCTCTGTTAAAATTTCAAAACCCCATTTCTTCAATTTTTAAAATGAAGCTCATTAAAATTTTTTCATCCCCTCTCTTCCATTTCTTTCATACCAAACCAACCATTAGTTATTCAAATTTAATGTCAATGCCATAAATGACTAATTTCATCCCTTTCCATCTGTAGTGTTGAGTTAGTTTTTTTTTTTTTTTTTTCTCGTGGGGCTGAGGGAACAATGTCGATTGTACATTATTATAAATTCCAAATTTAACATTAAAATTCATCAATTCGGTTGCAGTGGTGTGAAGAGATAGGAAGATATTGGAATTGATTGAACTGGGTTGGCCCGAAAAGGTTGTGTGAAAAATGATGATAATGATGGTCATACCGAAAGTAGACAAAATTTTTGTTCTCAATTTTCTGCTGGGATAAGCATGATATATATTAATATAAAAACTAGTTTAACATTTAATTTAGCCTTAAATATAAAAATCAATCTATTTTATTTTTTATATTTATTTATTTTTTCTAAGATAATATTTATTGTAGTTATGTATATTAAATGTTTCATCAAATAGTAGTTATGACTAATACATATGATTAGCAAGTATATTTTAGGATATACAACATTTATTTATTACAAATAATTGATTTAACTAATTTTTTTAATCTATTCAAATTAATCAATTAATTCTTGTATTAAAAATAAAAAAGGTAGTATTTGCTATTTGCTGACGTGCGGTGGTATCCCACTATCCCATATGAAATGTTCAGATATAATGTAGAAGGTTTACATTCTTTTATTTTGTGTTCAAAATATTTTTTAAAAATATTGAAAATCAAACAAGTATGTTTATTTCATACTTCATTCCATTTCAAATAAAGACATCAGAGTTATAAAAATGAATTACAATTTAAACTGACTAATTTTGATTTAAATATTAGAGATACATAGAGAATTCAAGGACGAAAAATTTATGGGAATTGTCTTCATGTATATAATTGTATAGGCATCATTGAATATATGTGTGGAGAGGGAGCTACAACATTATTTGCCGCAACCCACAACCATAGAAATCTATTCATATCATGATAGTAGTACTTTTTAATTTAGGGGAAAAAGAACTTTTTAAGAATATCATTAAAACATTTTGTATTTGATATATCTGATATATTTAGATATGTATCAAATCCAAACAAGGGAATTCTAAATTTGAAAGTAAATTAATAATATTAACAATATAATTTAATTATAAAATAAATCGTGCTACAATGATTTCATTGGTATAAAATACTTCAAGCATATCAATTTGTGTTCCAAAAATTTTTTCTCGCATATATCAATAATTTTTTTTTTTTGATTTTTATCAATAAATTACTTTTCTGACAACAAGATCATTTTGTAAATATTGAACGTATAATTTCACATGCAACTTTTGATACAACAAAGTAGGTCTGATCATATATTTCTTTCCAACTAGATCTAATATTTTTAATATATTATCGAGGAAACTGAATCGGTTAATTATTGTAATTATCTATATTTTTTGGTCACCACATTTATTCAAAATTTAATCAAGCAGTGTTGGATTTTCAAGCTGTTAGGCCATATCCCAATATTTTTAAATTCAATTTTTAATCCATAAAGCAACTATTATTACTCCATAATCTGGATCCCGCCAGCGCGTTTCAGGGCTACCAAAAATAGCTGGCGGGTTCGGACGGCATAATAGAGGCCTTTTTTGGAAAGAGAAAATAAACAGAAAAGAGAGAGAAAAAACGTGTATTTGGGAGGGGCATTTTGGTAGTTTCACTGAAACGCGAGGGTGTCTTTATTCTCATGCTTCCTGCTTCAATATTAAACACATCTCTCACACGCACACACTCCTATCTTCAAAGGGAGTTCTGTGTGGAGTGGAGACTGGTGCAAGCGTTCTCGTCCCCGGATTGAAGACTCATTTTTGTATAAAAAATCCATTCATGTGCCCCAAGAAGAATAATTGCCGGAGCTCCGGCTCCGATGCCTCTCCCGCCAGGTCCGACGATTCCGCATCCGCGGTTGACTGGATTTCCGAGGCAATCGCTGGCGGATCTCTACGCCGCGTCGACATGCACCATGGAACTAACGGCTGGGCGTCACCGCCCGGCGACCTTTTCTTTCTCCGTTCCAAAAACTACCTAACAAAAAGACAGAAGGCTCCTGCCGGAGACTATCTGCTTTCTCCTGCAGGTATGGATTGGCTCAAATCTAATACTAAGCTCGATAATGTGCTCGGCCGTCCCGATAACCGTGTGTCGCATGCACTCCGGATAGCCCAAGATCAAGGAAGATCGTTGAAGAGCTTTATCTTTGCCGTGAATCTTCAAGTGCCTGGTAAGGATTATCACAGCGCAGTGTTCTATTTCGCTACGGAAGATCCAGTTCCTTCCGGCTCACTTCTTTATCGATTCATCAATGGCGATGACGCCTTCAGAAATCAGCGGTTTAAATTGGTGAACCGGATCGTGAAGGGACCGTGGATTGTGAAGAAGGCGGTTGGAAATTATAGTGCCTGTTTGTTAGGTAAGGCTTTAACATGCAATTATCACAGAGGGCCAAATTATTTAGAAATCGACATCGATATTGGAAGCTCGGCAATCGCGAACGCTATTTTGCATCTCGCATTGGGATATGTAACGAGCGTCACTATCGACATGGGCTTTCTAGTGGAATCGCAAACGGAGGATGAATTGCCGGAGAGATTAATAGGTGCCGGAGAGATTTTGTCAGTTGAGAGTGTCGGCAGTGTCCAGGTCGTTACAGATAATACTCCGCCGTTAGCGCGTGCGATCGGGCTGTCGAAGGTGAATCACGATAAATCAGCTGACGATGGAGAAGGGGTAAATGCCTAGTTAGGGCTAAAATAATTTATTTAACTCGGAAGGTTTTTTTTTTTTAAATTATTTTTCTTGTTTCTGTAATGTATTTTTTTTTTGTCTCTCTTTCCGGGACTGGTCACTTGGGAATATCAGATAATAACCGAATATAATTTCGGTGTTCATAAAATTCCATTTTACGCGTTGGCAGTCTTCATGTGTGAAAGCATAGAATTCCACAAATCAGCACCATATGGTGATATCCATGAAAAAGGTTGAGAATGGAATTTTTGTTAGCTGACACTGAATTAAAGAAAAGTTAGACTGAAAACAGAACAAGGCAGGCAAAAGGAATCTGATCATCTGTGTGTTATCTTCTTGCTTTTTGGTTGAGCTTAGTGTGTAATGTAGTCTTCTGTGTAGGAAAAGAATCACACTTTTTTTCTTGAATTAGTTCATGATCTAGAAGAAGAGCAGGAAGCGGAATCAAACTCGTCACCTTCCACTGGGAATCACACTTTTTTTAAATAACGGGAGATATAAGCCGCATGGCAACGCAGGAATCTTTTCCGCTTTGGGTACGCTGAAAAGGGGGTCGGCGTCAAAAACTTGTCCTGCTACTCCTATATTACTACAGATTTTTTCCCTTGAAAAAACAGGTAATATGGAAAGACAGAGGAGAGCGGTAGTAAAGTGAAGCAAGTACTATTATAAGAATAGAGTACTGTGAGAAGCGATTTGCCCTGCATCACTAAATTGCAATCTATACCCTTTTTTTTAAAAAAAAAAAAAATCAATACAGTGTGTGGAATTGATTCTTCTTATAGATTGTTTGGTGAAGGAACAGTCATGTTGATACAGACTGTCGCTATGGCTTCGAAGCATTAAATAGATATGATTTAAAGAATTGTGTGACTCACTGCCTTGCGTCACAAAAAGATTCCATTACACGGACCCCCACTTGAGCCCCAAAGTAAATTACCCAGAGAGGCTAGTGGGGGTCGGTACCGAATAGCGCTCTCGTTGAGATATTGGGAGCTGTGACCCCTTATGGCCTTTTTGGACACCCATGATATGACCCCGTCGCTGTATGCGGCTTATCTGATCTTTCCATACAAAGAAACAAAAAACGCCATCGCTGATCTCATTCTTGGATTTTCTGGTCGCTCACCTCATATCCCTCGTGCCCTAAATTCATTTATCTCCGGTGACACTTCTCTCCTTCTGCTTCTCTTATCTTTAAATTTTAATTAATTTGCTCTCAGAAAACTCTGAATTATGAGTAATGATTATTACGTATGCCGAGTAAAATCGTGTTAGTGGCTACAGTTGTGTGTTTGATTATTTTGTTCAAAATTAAATACAATGCTCTTAGTAATTTTTCAGATGAAAAATAATATAAATTTTTAATCCCTCTTGCTGAGCTGTAATATTGGGGTTTGGCGATAGTAAAAGGACCCACGACCCGGTGGTGACAGGTGGTGGCCACCCTTGGAGTAGGGCGCATTGGAATTTGGAAGTCAAAACAGCCGACCCCCCGCCTCCCACGCCCTTTTCTTTTGAATTTTAATTTTAATTTGTATAATAATTAAATAACGCAGGCGCACATGATCCTCCCTCCGGCATTTCTCACGAAACAAATAACGAAGGCTGTTAATTCTGTAAAGAAGATTTCTGTGTCTTCCATTGGTCACTGTCTGTGATCTCAGCAGTTTATTCAAAAGTATTAGGGAACAAGCTAAGATAATTTATTTAGGAAGAAACTGTTTCATTATAATCCTATTCAGTGTGTAAACATCTCCAAATGTTCCTGATTTCACTTCACCTCATATAGTTAAGTAATCTTAATATTCGGTGTCTCCTATATTATATCAACACAATATTCATCTATGTTTAAAAATTTATGAAGAATCTCACTCTTGATAAACCATTAAAAGAACATTTAAATTTCAACTTCCCATCCAATTATAAAAAGGATGCTATGATTTTGTTTAAATTTTCTTTTCTCTAAAAAAAATTAAATCAGTCCCTAATAGGCACATAATATATGTAAAAGTAACCGAACTGAAAGTTCATTTGTTTGTCAATTAAGAGATCATTATTTCTAATTGTAATTTATAAAATATGAGATAAATATATAAAAAAAATATCTGATTTATATGAAATGTATTTATAAGTACTTATATAAGTGATACCAACAAACACTAAATCGTGCTCCTAATTTTTTTTTACACTAGTGCATACTGCATAGATTCATTTCTTGGCCGCAAAAGAAGCATGCAGAGTTTTTTGTTTTTGGGCGAGGCATAAATCAAGATGTGAGTTGAACCACTCATTGCTCAATTATGTAGGCACACGAATGATTGAAATCGTCCAATATTCCTATATATATATATATATATATATAATATTCTCCACAAACTGGTATGATTTGAGAGGAAGAAGAAAAATGCAAAAAGGGAAGCAAAGGAGCTTATTTCGCTGTCAATTATCGAATAATGGTGCAATTTGGTTAAGTAGGAGCCTCTTCCAGCGATTTAATTTCCTTCATTATGCCAACCTGTTTGAACCAGTCTGCTTTACAAAAAAAAGTGTTTAGGAATGCTTAAAAGTGCTTCTAAAAAGTACTTTTCCGTAAAACGAGACAAACTCTTCTATATATTTACTTCGTGAACCGTAAAAGCACTTTTAAAACCATGGTTTGGTTTACATCCAAACATACATAAAATCAAATGTCAACCCTTTTAATTATCATCAAGCATCATAATTTGTTTCAAAAACATTCAGGGCATCAGAGCAAGCGATGTCAACTTGTTTTAATCAACGTGGGTCGTCGAATGTACAGTAAAAATCAAATTTGTAAGACCACATTCATTCAAGATTTATGTGGTAGTAACTTGGTTTAGTTGAAGAGGACGTGACAGTAAATGAAATACTCACTCAGTCCTAAATATAAGATCTTTATACTAGTATGTATAAGGGTTTAGCTCAGTTCAGTTCATTCGGATTTGTACATTTCCAAGAGCAAATGCCCACGCGCAAGCATTACCATGTCATGCATATTTCTTTTTTTTTTGGCCTTTTTATATTATAACAATTAAACGCAGGTATGCTTGTAAACGTGTGTGGAACTCGGGAACTCATTCGAATATGGTGAGTGGCGTTGCCACTGTAACTACTAAATTATATACTATTTTTTTCAGTTTTTAATATAAAAACTAGTTAGCTAATTGAATAGATTAAAAAATTAATTATATTAGTTATTTGTAAATAAAAATATTATTTTTCTAAAATATCCATACTAATCAAGTATATTAGCTAAAACTATCATACTACAAACAAAGACTATCAAGAAAAAAATGACTAAATATAAAAAAATAAGGTAGATTGAAATCTTATATTTAGAATCAAAATAAAAATCAAATCAGTTCTCATATTAAAGAGTGAAGGTAGTATATGTTAATTCTTTTTCAAAATTATATTTCTTTAGTTTCAACATACAAAGAATTTAACTTATTAGAAATTACTCCACTCAATATTTTAGAGCCTAATTTTAGTTTCATTCTAACACGCATTCATTTGCTTAAATAGATTTCCTTTGTTAAATTCACCCAAAATAAAATTTACTTTTTCATATTTTTGTCTGTGAAGTTGAATTTAAGTTCATTTTTTATTTGTAAAATAAGTGAAAAATTTATTAGCAAAAAATTAAAAAGATAGCCACCCATTAATTATGACAATAGACACAGCTCAATTGCCCGCAACTTAAAGCCGGCCAACTGAATGAACTCAAGCGTCCGGCAACGGGTCTTCTAATGAAAGTAAGAATACGGTTTCCATGGGAGTCATAAACTTACAAACATCAGTCTTCTTAAAATTTAAAACAAAAAAACAAAAAATAGAGCTCGCTGCTTTTGGTAGTGGAGGAGATTCTACAGACACTAAAAATGAATATTAAGTTTTGAAACTTTGAGGAATTGGGAACGTACTAGCGTACATTCATTTTACTGTTCACCGTAGTCGAATGGAGGACCTCCTCTGAGACATCAACTACTTCTTCAATTTCAACTTCCTTGGCCTCGTACTCTTCCTCTTCATCACTAGCTTCTCCATCCCTAAGTTTCTGTCTCTCTAACTTCTCTTCTTCATTCAATCTTTTCCATTCATTAACCCATTTGTCCCACTCTTCTTTCAGCATTCTCCGCTTCTCACGGTCCTGCTCACTTAACAGCATTGATACATCCTGGTCTTCTGCCTCGTACTTCTTGCTATACTTCTTCAAGTTCTTGGCTATCTCTTCCTCTTTCTCAGGACTCAAGAAGATGGTGGCTTGGCCGCCACAAGAACTGTGATTAACAGCAGTCAAGAAACCATTGTGATTGATTGACAACTTTTGGCATACAAAATGAACAATATAGGCAGGCATCTGGTGCATGAACACTTCTTCAGGCACAGAATGGACAGATAAAAGCAAGGTTGATAAAGTAATTACCTGAAAGAAATGATCCTTGAGTATCCGGTAGAGGAGTTTGCCATGAAAAGACCATATATTGAAACCATTTTCCATTTCATGAACAGAGGTGACCGAAGTTGCAACATACCTACAGAAACAAGCAGGTCAATACAGATACTAGAGCTCCGGTCCCAAAAAAGAAAAAAAAAATACAGATACTAGAGCCAACTCAAACAGAACAGTTATTTTATTTTTTTTTAAATCAACAGTGAGGTAACATTTCATTCAATTAGCTTAAATTTTAGAAACATTTCATATCACAGCCAATTGCATTTAGGCCTTCTTCATAAGCAAACAATAAGAGCAAACAAAGCAAGCCATGTGATTTAAACTACGTATACTTTCTGTACAAATTGCGAGCATCTACCTTAAAACAACCCTACTTCAAAAGTTAAGCACAAAGGCCACCCGCATTGAATTAATCAGCAGCAGTAGAAAAGCACAGCCTATTTACTTAAAATGAACATTTATTTAATGTATGCACAGGCTGATTTAACTCTATTCACCTTCCAGTAGGATCCCATTCAATATCTGTAGCCATAAAATGCTCCGCTGTTGCCATGGTTTCAAGCTCATCCACATTATAGAATTCAAGCTGTCCATTAAAGCCCTTTAATCCTGCAAGTATTATGTAATGACCAGCAGGTGACCAGAAAAGAGCATTCGCCTGCTTTCCTTTGAGAGTTGTGAGCTTTGAAACCCGGCCCGTATGCTGAGCAGTTCGCATAGAGTAAAAACTAATATCAGGCCTTGGATTATCACCATGAATAACAGCAAACCTATGGCCTTTTGGCTCCCAGGCAAAGGCAATGATCTTGTCATTTTTATTCTCAAGCTCCAAAACTTCAATAGGTATGTCTCGTTCTTTTATACGGAAGAGTTCAAAGCCTGTGTACGTGCTTTTCTTGGTTTTTGTATATCGATCAACCTTAACTGCCAGGTAGTCCCCATTGCTTTGCCAGTACATATTGCAATCACTTACACTAAAAAGATTCTTCTGCCTAAGTTCCTCTTTGCTGGGAATTTGAACCAAACTCACCTGTAAAATATGCAGGCACAGGGCTTAATTCATCTTATTTCACACCCAAAGCAATCCTAAGTCCATGAATAATAAAAGGCCGATCTGTAAAAATGGTCTCACCCTAGCAGGCTGGTTCCCACCACCCAACTCTGGAACAAAAAGTGCAAGGATTGGATCCGTTGGTGACCAGCTGAAATCCATTACATTTTCAACCTTCAAGGACTTTTTGTCAATGAGGGAAAATGTCTCTGTCTCATAGACAGAGATCATATTTTTTCCCAGTCTTGCAAAATACTTGTCATCCTTTCCTCCGCCCCATCTAGAAGAACATTATCCTTCCATTATGCCAACGAGTCACAAGCAAAAATGATTAAAGGGCCAAAGAAGAGAACAAACCTGAATATGGGCCATGAGACCCCAGTGACACCCCCAGCACCTCCAGCTGCAAAATCATCTGCACTTCCCTTAAAATCTCTCATTACTTTTCCAGTCCTCACATCAAATATATTTATGACTACCCTCTGAGTAAAAAAAAAGTAATTAGAACCATCACCGGGATATAAATAAAATAGTAAAGAATTCAAGATAGCAAGTGCTTACATTTGCATCTCGAGGATTGCTAGGTTCGTGGCTGCTATAGGTCACCAAATACTTCTCACCAGGTGAAAAATCAATAAGTTTAACCTGCAGTTATATATGTTCAATACTAAGTAATTAAGACAATGTGCAGGCCAAATTATGCATAGATAAAATCCAAATTAACCTGGGGATGAGCATAACGCATGAGACGGTTGAATGTTATTGCACCTCCCCAAACTGCCGCTCCTTGTCTGTGAACTGTTGCCAAGTATGTTCCCAATGGAGACCATTGCACAAAGCTTTCAGTCCAAAACTGCAAAGTAAACATATTTAAACACTCAGCATCTTATTGGTCCCCAAAAAAAAAAAAAAAAAAAGACTCATCATCTTCATGCACAAATAGAACGTTGGTATTGAGAGAATATAGGAGGGAAAAAGACTCCACTCACGGCTCGCTTATAAACAGGATCAGGCTTCAAATGCCTGGCATCATTCCACAACACCTCCGTATCTGAGCCTGAGCGAATTACAAACTGATCACGCGCTTTGGAATCAGTCAGCCACTGCTGAAGATTTTCCTGCAAGAGCATTCGACCAGACAAAATAGTAAAGATCACTGAGTAGCTGTATCTGTTTGTCTCCATAAATTCACCAGTAATTGAGAATGATGCAAAAACCTCATGATCTCCACCAAATAGACAAAAATAATTACGACAAAAAATGATATGGCATAAAAGGGTGAGGGGGAAAAAGAATTTAACATCTACAGAAGCAGAGCAGGAGAAAACAAGTAATACGTCAAACTAATAAATTTATCATTGAATACAGAAAATTCACGTGAATTGGGACTACAGCCTTAACATACCAAATGAAATATAAATTTAACATTTAAAGAAAGGAGAGCATGAGAAAACAAGTAATACAAAGTAATAATTCATCATTGAATATAGAAGATTCATGTCAATTAGGACTTGAGCCTTGACATACCAAATGAAATATAAATTAGCATGTACTGACTTGTAGATTACAATTTGGAATTAGCATATGCCTTATTAGCACTGATTAAAACATGAAATTCTACATCACTTCATACTAATTTTTATGATGGAGCCCAAAGAAAAATGTGACTGAATCCTCATAGGTACCACAGCTTCATCAAAAAACACAATTTGCATCAATACTTATTGGCAGCATCTGCAGTTTATCTTATTGTACAATGTATGTCTATGACAACAAAAAAGGCACCCAATCTTACAAGAACATAATTGTTTTAGCATATTACCCCTGGTGTGTATGGCTTAGTTTCAGGGGGAGCCCATTCATCTGGAACTTTCAAGAACCTCTCGAAGTCATCAAACATATTCACAGAAAAGATATGGGAGCGATCCAACTTGTATCCATGCGTCTTCTCCTTAGCAAGCTCTGCTTCCTACAATGCCACACACAATGAAATGGGAAGTGATGAAAAGACACTTTATCTTGCAGGCCGTGCAACAGAATGAGCCAACCTATGAAAGCATGTAAAAGCTTTGTGATAGCACAAAAAGCTAAAGCAAAATGAGAGAGCATAAAAACTTAAGTATGTGTTGGACACCAGCACAAGTAAAAAAACTTTGCCAATGTGATATGCACTTCTACACAGTTTAATTTCAAAACAAATAATATTCAACACTCAATACCCTGGGGCAAAAAGTCAATAACATGACACAGATGAGATCTAATGGATTGGATTGAACTAAAATAATACAAAAAATAACAAAATTACCACCCGCTTCCCCCATTGCACCGCAAATTGCCCAGACACTTTCGCTCCTCCAAGAGGGAAATGAAGTGGAGGCAGAATCATATTTTTTGGTTTTCATATTCAAATAAGACACCTTTTCTCATATCAAATCAGAGCTTATAGAACTATGATTTGGCAAACATGCTTTTGATAGAATTGGACAATAAAAATAAAATACGAAGCTGTAAATAAATTAGTGAAGTTAACAGACTCGTCTATACGCGTGAACAAGTAAAGTTTGGGGGTAATGATGCACCTGAGGCGTATTATACTCAATAAAGCAATAACCCAAAGTTTTATCCGTATCTGGATCAACAGGCATCCACAGACCATCTTCCTTTATCACGCCAATCTGGCTATAGATCTTTCGTATCACGCCTTCAAGCTTCTCAAACTTCTCCCGAGGAACTACAGGAAGGTTGTCCACAACTATAATGTTGCCAAATCCATTATCAAACTCCTGACTGTCCTCGTGGTAAATATCTTCATCATCACTGTCATTCAAAAATAATGAATGATGATTGAAACTGGTCCCGAATGGTATACAGAGGGGAAAATGTTGGCGAGTTTAAACATTAAAAGTTTTAAATATATAAGAACCCTAACGAACAAAGGAGGAATGAAAGTTTGGCCCGCAAGATCATCTTTTTTCTATATAGCAGGCCAATGGAAGGGCACAATGCGCAGGTAGCCAAAATCAATCAGAAAATGGCAAGCTACCCCTCCGTAAGACTGGGGTTCCAAGTTGCAGGAACAGCAGAAATAGGATGCAGACACGCTGCTGTCCTAAGAAATCCAGGTTACTTGAAAACAATCGGCATATGAAAGACGTACCTTACTATGCCCAAGTCATCGCCGGGAGGGAGGCGAATAGAGTCGAGATCGATGGTGGAGAGATCGACGCCGAGACGGGACGCCGTCGCCTCAATCTCTGTCATCACTGCCACATCCGCCATGTCTGATTTCTGCTACTTCAACCAGCAACAATTGTTATGGCTTTCCGATTCAGATTCTTCAGATAGAACTCTCAGCGAAAATCTATGAAAGAAAACGAAGCAGCCCGAACCACGGTAGCTGGAGGCTTGCCGCTTCCTTGGGTTTTTCTATAGAGGTTTTAGTTAGTTTTTCTTGCCCGGTTGCCCCAACCCCTCTACCTCGTGATTTTTCTCCTGCCTCGGTTGTTTGTTTTTTTATTTTTTTTAACACTCTTCCCCGAAGGTTTTTTTGTTAACTCGAGGTTAATTTTTTTTTCCTTTTTTTCATTATAACTAAATGATTTTTAATTTTTATATTGTATAAAATATAACGTTTGAGGTGTGTTGGAAAATAAACAAAAGAATGTTTGAGGGATGAATTATTTTCATATATCTGGATGATTCAAAATTTAATTATTTTACTCATTTTTACTCATCCCTCCTTCCATTTTAATTACTGAACAACAACAATATCCATATTAAAGTATTAATTAAAAAATATTAATTGCTTCCTAAGTTTTTTAAAATGACTTATAAAAATATAGAAATATAAAAGGTTTTAAAGTTAGACTTATAACTTGAAACAAAAGAAATATTATATTCATCTCCTATTTTTATTTGACGCGTGAAAAAGAATATTTTAAATGATTTATATTAATTTTTTAAAAAATTATTAACATAATGAAATATATTTTTTTAAAAATTATTAACATAACGAAATATCTTTTGAAATATAAACACATTTTTGTTAAACTATTAAATAAGATATTATGCTACACTGTATTGGCAAAAAAAGAAAATATTGTCACACTGATTTCTGTTATTGTACCTCATTGAAGATTAAATTGTTTTTCTTAATCCTATTCTAAAGTTTACATTGGAGATTATTTGCTTAAAAAAATTAAAATCGTAATTTGAAATTAAATAAAAGCTCATTCTTTTTGTAATATAAATCACTTTTCTTATCATTCCACAAGATGCGTGACATTACTGCTAGACCAAATCCTGATAAATGAAAAACATCCAGGAACAAAAACGGAGGGACCGGACCAGCACCAACGTAACATCTACGGTGGCTTTGTTTTCACACGATACAAAGATGATGCGACTACAAAGATGATAGGATGGGCATTGTTAGGTATCGCTTGAATTAATCCAATTGGCTTCCCGTTTTGATTCAGGCCCAGATGACTGTGCATTTGTCATAGTTTGCCAGATGCTGGACCCTAGCAATTCAGCATATTTGGAATGACGCTTCACAGATTTACATTCTCAATTACCACATTAACTCCTCAGACTTATTCGTCATCATCGACATCATCCCCATCATCAATTGGAATGTCCTCGCTGTCATCACTAATGGGACCTAGAAAATATATACAAGAAAAAAGCAACTCAGAGAAGTGGAAAATATACAAATAGCACAAGGTTAATGCAATTGGCTATGTAATGATAATGTTGTACAATGAACGTGTTTCTAGATTCCTAGTTAATAGCGTCAGGAGTTTGGTCAATCTCTAAAAGGTACAATCCTAGTTAATAGCGTCAGGAGTTTGTCAATCTCTAAAAGGTACAATCCTAGTTAATAGCGTCAGGAGTTTGGTCAATCTCTAAAAGGTACAATCAGCAAGAAGCTTTCTTTTATTAACATTATAGAGCTCAATGCAGACACGAAACATGAGCGTGGAAGCCATCTTGAAATGAAGCAGGTGCAAGGTAAAGCAGCAGTCACGAAATATACTACTCTTCCGGTCTTTAATATATGATTCAATTATTGAGTTGGTTTTGATCCTAAATATAAGACCCATTTCTCATCTTTATCAATTTTTTCTAAATTACCCCTGTGGATACTCTCTCAACCATAATCAAGTAGAAGAGGGAGAGGGAGTATTAAGAAAAATGATTATGGTATTTTAGGAAAAATGTGTCACATTTCTTATAATTAACTAACTTACCTAACTTCCTTAATCTAATCAAATTAGTTAAATGGGTCATATATTAAGAACCAGAAGAGTACTATATTTCCCCTTAGCATCCAGCTGTCAACACACTCCCAAGCAGCAGAAACACTATAAGGCGGGGATTGTTATTCAGCTTCTAAAGAAGTATTATAATAGAATCTCAAATGGTCAGACCTCCAATTAGTTCAGCTCAAGGCTGGTTATACGGTCCCGTTTAATACCAAGCATTGAAAATTAAGAGTAAGGATTGCAATTGGGATTTAAAAAAATATATTAAAAGAGTATTTAGCATAAAAGATCATTTGTTACTTAGGATTAAGCAAATCCATATGTGTGGGATTAGGGAATACCATGAAGAGAAATGATATTCCCCAATTCTACCTAGATGAGATTGTCTAATCTTATGTAACAAGACATTACTCATAATAAACACTCAATCCCAATCCCAATTCTTAACCCTCATTTTGAATGTTTCGTGCCACACAGGATCATGGTTCCTTACAAAATCCTAGGCACAGCTTTTATTTTTTGGTAAATAGGCACAGCAACATTATTAAAATATACAAACCAGCTACTCAATAAGATATAGCTCAAACTGCAAGACCAGGCAACCAACCAAGAGAGGAGAGATTAGAAATGTCGATGTCATTAAGGTGCAAACATATAGACATCGTCTCCAGTTCTCTGCCCCATCTCGTGCTTCATACGATATGGATTCATTTTTCATCTATAACCAATTGGCAAAACAAGGAGGCTGAACTTTACCTCTTGGAATTGAAGGAGAAGGATAAGGTGATAAGCCCTGAGGTTCTGGAGCGCTATCAAGAAGATACGGAAGTCCTAGGAACTGCAAAAGAGATTCTGTCTGTGGATTTCGAGAATTCACTGCAAAGAATCAAGAGGAATCAAGAAGAAATATGAGCAAGCATGTTAGTGGAAAATGCATAGAAATAAGATGAGAGCTGCGAATACTCTAAGTGATGGTGGATATGAAAATATGAATTTCATTAACCAAAAAACAAGCAGAAGGAAGCTAAATTTGTTGCATAACACGTAAAATTAATGATGTGGGATGAATAATTACCAGAAAAGGTACCCTCAATATTGGATTCAGAAGGATTGTAACGTGGAGCAGTTCTAACAAATTCAAAAGGCTTGTAACCTCTCTCTTGCAGCCTGCTTCTAACCCATTGACGACAGTCCTCCATCTCAAGATCTATACCTCTATCAGCAAGCACACAGAGCATCATTTTATTTGTGAGGGGAAGAAAGGGAGGACAAAAACAAAAGATTTTATAGATTTCAAATTTTAAATGCTAAGGTATTTTCACATCACATGCAAACTCACTTGAAATCTGCAGCTTTGGCAGTAAGAGGGAAGACGGAGTTGAACCTCCGTGTTATAGCTAACCATTCTTCATCATACTGAATTTCATAAGGTCCTGCCTCTGATTCAATTTCCACAATCTAATGACACATAACATGCCAAAATTTTAGTCACTAACTCAAATATTGATTGCAATAAGCTCCCCAGACACTATTGATATCAAATTCACATAAAATACCTGTAAGAAATCCCGACCAGCAAGGCACTTATCAAGTGCAAGAAATTTTGTCTGAGGACCACCATCCCCATGTTGAACAAGAGCAGCAAACTTGCAGTGTAAGTGAGCTGAAAACCAATACTGTGGTTTCAATTTTTCCAGGAGTTGCGCAGCAGCTTTACCCAAGTCTTCTTTCCTCTATCTAGCACATGTTTATTTAGATAACTGAAGTGAGGATATCATACTTTTTGGATCATTAAATGCTGTACAATTGAACATTACACGCAAAGGTGGTGGTTGGTCACACATTTCCATAGTTACTGCATACAGTCAAGTGCCAATGCAAATGGCCATTACTTTTTTGCCTTTTTTTTTCCCCCCGGCCAAAACGCTAATGCCAGTTACACAGCCAACAAGATAGTGGTTATAACAGTTGTAAAAAGAAAATTAAATATGAACAAGATGGTGCGTATGATGGAAAGACTTTGTGTCATTGATGATTGGTTTTTTGTGCCAAAAAGTCAGTAGTCTAATTTGACATGCCCCTGCATTCAGAAAACAGTGATATAAACCACGGATAAACAAAGTGCCTCCTGCCCAAGCAATGATGAGCGGACAACTCCTTTTCAAGTTTCCATGAACATAAAACCAAACCAAGATGACAGATTCCACATTGAATACTAAAATTGAACATTTAACATCTCAGAACTTCTCTACCTCCCTTTCCTACGCGTGCTAAATGTTAAATTCCAGAGTTCTGACAGAAAATTGATACTCAAGTGAAATCCGCATTGATAATTGAATACTCATCTAACATGATTTAATTTGTTAATAGGGATTCCTAATAGATGTGCAACACCATAACTCTACACAGAAACCATCGTTGGTTTCTTCCATTGGATAAGAAAATCACATGTGATATCAGTTCTTAGTAATTTCTCATCCAAATGGCATATCCGTTCTGTTCGCAGTTATTCTTAATTCCCCATCAGTTGAAAGGCTGCTATGTCCTTCACAAAATACTAACAAAAAAAGTACCCAGAACCGGTGACCAGGTTTGCAAAAGATTAAAAAACAAAGACACCAACCCATCATTTAACAATCAATTAAACAATTACCTCCTGCTTAAAGAAATGTTTCCGCCGAATGAGATCCTTCCAATTCCCACAATCTGATTCCGACTGGCCAATCATGAGAAAGAAAGATATCAATCGGTTCCTCGACTTGAATGAGCTTGTGAACATCATATTCACGAACATGATACACAGACCTGATTGTATTTTGGTCGTAAGGAGGCCTCTCAAAATGTCCTGCTCAAAGAAAAGACCTGTGTCACTGTTCCTGCAGGATAAATGCCATGTGCAAAGCTACAGCTTATGGTACGTTTGCATATAACTCTTGGTGTTATGAATCAAATAAAATGACATACGAGCAGCAGGCAGTTGAGATGGTATCGACATGAACCCATAATTCATGTCATAATCAAAGATGCAAAATAAATAAACAACCTGATTTATAATGACGTGCATTATAAATCCCAGACACTCCACCAATTCGGATATTCCCAAACCTGACCACCCTGCAACTCCCAGGAAATATATATTAGGCGCAGCCCATCCTCCATAGTACCTAGAAGAAATAACCAACAAAACAAGGGCCTAGGCTGCCAAAGCCATGTTACAATAAACTTCTACGAAAGGCAAGCGTGTTTAAAGCAAATAATAGGTAACTCAGAAAATAACCAGCACTTAGGGAAGGATAAAATTAGTTAAATACAAGCTCAGTTAAAAATGAAGAATAATATCAGATTAAAGTACCCGACTCACAATTCCCACAAATAATTAGACGCTTCGTGGTTTCCACCAATGAATATTGTGGGATACGGGGCAACCTCCAACCCCGAATAGTACTTCCAGAATGACTGCATAGAGCGATAGCGCGGCGGCACATTTAAGCTCTTCAAATCTTCTTCGTTTCGGACAGCCTGAACCCAGAAGATAACTATGTTCGTTGAAAAAATAGAAGTTTAATGGAATTGACGAAGTGAAGACTATGATTCGGGGCGAACCTACCTGAAAATCGCCGCAGCAGAGGAGGAGGTCGATTTTGGTGTTGTGCACTTTTTCAAGATGTTGCAAAGTTTTGTAGACATTGTCAAGATCGCCATGCATGCAACCTTCCACTGCTATCTTCATCTTTCAAACTTTTTGGAGACAAAATAAACTACGGAGGGAAATGCTAGGGCTCAAGCAATCCGGGGATTCGAGGGATCGGGGTCATCAGGGACGTTAGTTTGAACGCCTTCTCTTTGGATGGCCCCAAGAAAATAATTATATGTGCTCAAGAGTTTATTTTGAATTTTTTATCGTGAAAATCAGAAAAGGGCTAAAAGGGTTGGAAAAATATGAGGGAAATATATAGATTTTTCTTTTTGTTTTGGCCAACGAAATGTCGAAATATATAGATTTGTACATGCAAGAAAAAACGAAAAGAAAGGTAAGAAATATATTATGGATTAACGATTATAAAAGTTTTTTTAGATTTGGTATATGCAAATTTTTATGATATCAAAATTAAAATTAAAAATTAAACTAAAATGCTGTTTCTGGTAATTAACTGGATGGATAGTGATTGATTAATTAATTAATTGACCATATTAAATAAAGAGCGCAATTCAAATATAGTTTTGGAGGTCGATGTAATTTTAAAAAACAGATATTTTACTTCGTTCGCTCCTTTTTTATGACATGGGGTGCTTGGTTTGGGTCTGGGACTCTGGGGGTATTGAAATTTGAAAGTCCGTGGACGGAAAGGAAAAGAGAAAGAAAAAATGGGGTATGATTATCAGCACCGCCATCAAGCAACCGACGGACTTCTCAGCTTATTCACAAAAGCGAATCATGATCTTGCTTTAGTTCATCTCAGGCTTGAGAAGGAGTTTCAACAAATTACCCCGACAACGTAAGTAAACTCATTCTTCAATCTTTTCCCGGATTTTAGTTTTACCTTAATATTTGTCTCTTTAATTTATCGGAATTCCTTAAATATTGAGCATCTCAAGCCATTGTAGTGGTTTTTTGGCGTAATCGATTTGGATTCACTTCCCAAGTTATCGGTGATGTGTTGGCAGGCAAACCCTATGAAGCTGGTTTCTAGGATAAAAAAGATGCAAAAGATATATCAACCTTGAAAGAGCAGTGCCACGAGCTATTGGCAGCTAAACAGGTATATAATTTATGCTTTTTTAAAATGTGCGCGGAAGAAAAGGAATTTCAGCAGCGTGTTGGATAAGCTTACCAGTTTGTTTCGCCATTTCCTTAGCAGACCAAAATCGTTGTATGCATTATGATTCCTTCATCGTATTTTGAAGTTGTTGCTGCTTCTTAATTATGCAGGACCTGATTGATAAGGCTCAGAGAACTCTGGTTGAGAACAGAGATTTGGTGCAGCGCATGCAAGCATCCATGGGTACTTCTCTCACTGGCGAAGATGATTCTGCATTCACTAACTTCAAGCAGGTAATTCGCTGTTTTAAAAATAAAATGAAAGAAGGGTAGCTCCTTACTATTTTGAATAAAAATAGCTGTTTGTATTTTCCATGCATATATGATTGTTTGAGTAGCTCAAAAAATCAAGATTGCCATCGGATAATGAAATTATTCAATTTCTACAGTTGGATATGTTCTTTCATTCAATTATTATTCCAAGGTCCACTATGCTTCCCAGTTCCCAGTAATGTAGTCAAAGGTGAAGGACACTCGCGCCGTTAGGCCTGTAAAATGCTCAAGGCAAGAGGTGCTAGAAAGACATTCACCTGAGTGAACTGTATACTGGGGAGTTTCTCAAATATTTGTGCGTGGTTTTGTTGCAAAGGAGGGAAAATTTCACATCGTGTAAAGCGAGAACATCATAGCTCATGAATGGCTTTGTTGAGCAGTCTTTCAAATATTTGTACTGAGGTTTCTGCATAGGAGAATAGAAGTGTAATATATTATCTTCCATTATGGGTGTATTGAAGTGGAGCGTGAATTAGACGATAATTTATACACGTATCTCTTGCCATCTTCAAGGGTTGCCTATTTTCCAAATGGTGTTTAAAGTTTTTGCACCATTTGCCAGCAAGCAAACCAAATAATATATACGGCCTTTGCTTAGCATTCATCAAAGCAAAGAAAGCAACCGACGGACTTCTCAGCTTATTCACAAAAGCGAATCATGATCTTGCTTTAGTTCATCTCAGGCTTGAGAAGGAGTTTCAACAAATTTACCCCGACAACGTAAGTAAACTCATTCTTCAATCTTTTCCCGGATTTTAGTTTTACCTTAATATTTGTCTCTTTAATTTATCGGAATTCCTTAAATATTGAGCATCTCAAGCCATTGTAGTTTTTGTGGGCGTAATCGATTTGGATTCACTTCCCAAGTTATCGGGTGATGTGTTGGCAGGCAAACCCTATGAAGCTGGTTTCTAGGATAAAAAAGATGCAAGAAGATATATCAACCTTGAAAGAGCAGTGCCACGAGCTATTGGCAGCTAAACAGGTATATAATTTATGCTTTTTAAAATGTGCGCGGAAGAAAAGGAATTTCAGCAGCGTGTTGGATAAGCTTACCAGTTTGTTTCGCCATTTCCTTAGCAGACCAAAATCGTTGTATGCATTATGATTCCTTCATCGTATTTTGAAGTTGTTGCTGCTTCTTAATTATGCAGGACCTGATTGATAAGGCTCAGAGAACTCTCACTGGCGAAGATGATTCTGCATTCACTAACTTCAAGCAGGTAATTCGCTGTTTTAAAAATAAAATGAAAGAAGGGTAGCTCCTTACTATTTTGAATAAAAATAGCTGTTTGTATTTTCCATGCATATATGTTTGTTTGTTTGGTGAGTTGCTCAAAAATCAAGATTGCCATCGGATAATGAAATTATTCAATTTCTACAGTTGGATATGTTCTTTCATTCAATTATTATTCCAAGGTCCACTATGCTTCCAGTTCCCAGTAATGTAGTCAAAGGTGAAGGACACTCGCGCCGTTAGGCCTGTAAAATGCTTAAGGCAAGAGGTGCTAGAAAGACATTCACCTGAGTGACTGTATACTGGGGAGTTTCTCAAATATTTGTGCGTGGTTTTGTTGCAAAGGAGGGAAATTTCACATCGTGTAAAGCGAGAACATCATAGCTCATGAATGGCTTTGTTGAGCAGTCTTTTCAAATATTTGTACTGAGGTTTCCTGCATAGGAGAATAGAAGTGTAATATATGATCTTCCATTATGGGTGTATTGGAGGAAGCGTGAATGAGTGAATGAGACGATAATTTATACACGTATCTCTTGCCATCTTCAAGGGTTGCCTATTTTCCAAATGGTGTTTAAAGTTTTTGCACCATTTGCCAGCAAGCAACCAAAATTAAAATATACGGCCTTTGCTTAGCATTCATCAAAGCAAAGATTCCTTTGTTGATTTCCTTCTGCTCAGCCTACATAACTACTTTTTTTTTTGGGGGGGGGGGGGGGAATCATGATGACTAACTTATGCCATAATTTTTACTGACCATGTAGATTATTGAAGAATGGACAGCACAAGTAAGATCAAGAACAGGTAAAAAATTTTCCTCATTCAAATAATGATTGTTTTATCTATGTGTGGAAGCGCTTGTTTCCTGAATAAGGGTTCAAATTAAATGACAGTTTTATGCAAGACAATATACAGATGTCAGGAATTCTGTTTTGCATAGATTTCATATCTCGGAAAGTGAGGATGTTTATTTATGACCATAGTTTTCGACTTATTTATCCTTTATCTTGTTTTTAACCTTCGTGCTTCATTTATTTGTATTCCTCTCGAAGCTAATGTATGGAAGGGGGGGGCTTGTGTCTGAAGTTCCTGGGGGCTTTGGATGGAAGGACGTTGGGATTGAGGTCTGCTGTGTGGGATGAAGGGAAAAAGAGGGGGATATTGGGTTGAAGTGGATTTTTTCCCCATGATTAATTACCATGATTGCGTGTTGTTGCAGGGGACGAAACCCATGATTCGGACTCTGGAGACGTGAACAAACTGCTCTTCTCAGCTATTGTTGAAAGCAATTGAGCTGCTCTAGCAAAGATTATAGATGCCACCGTTAGTTTGTTCTGCATCATTTAGATGCTTCTCTGTTAGTTTGTTCTGCATCATTTAGATGCTTCTCTCTCTCTCTTTTTTTCAAGCAGCAGATTGTACGTAAACCTCTCATTTCTCATTATTCAATCTCAATAGAGTCTCTGTTCACTTAAAAATAAAAAATCTGTTCATATCGCCAGATCATTCCTTAGGGTTGCATTTGCAGTTTGGAAGACGAACTCGAGCCAAATTTACTGTGGCTATCAAGTTGAAAATTAGCATTTGCTTTAAAATAGCACATAACGATCAAGTCAACGAAATATTATATTTCAGTTACCCAGAGGGCAACATAGAGAAATGAGGTGAACAAATTGTGAAACCATCCGGTGACGTTGTGACATCAGTTGGACCCAAGTGCATGCATTGCAGCTTTAGAATTCCACACTGCAGTCACTTGTAAATATTTTCCGAGAGCTCTATATCTCTTCATACAAGAACAATAAATGCTGAAGTTACTGGAGTTTCTCTTACAAAGGAAGCTAGTTGAAGACGGATGTTGAAATGAGATAGCAAGAATGGTTGCAGATTGATTTGTTCTAAAAGCCGGCGAGCGAGGCTAGACAAGACCAGATGTTGTATTCGAGATTGTTCGCGACATTCATGAGCTTGTTAGACAAAGAAGTTCCCTGCCAGAAGTAAAAATTGCACAAGGATGAAAAATTCCAGAGAAATCACCGCCGTTAATGTTATTGATCCGGGTTTACATAAGCCCAAGGAAATAAAGGCAAAATATGCGGCCATCGTCTCATCCGCGTCCTAGGGTTAACAGCACGCTGCGTTAAATCACTGAGCAAATACATAAGGAGCTCAGCACAGACACAAGAAGCAGGTGTTTGGATGAAAATCATATTTTAAAAGTAATTTTACAGCAGACAAAACAATACTTGGATGAGTTTATCTTGATTTAAAAAAAAACAAAGTACCTCTAGAAGATATTTTTGGCAGCAGCGAAACACCTCCAGCGACGCGGAGAAAGGCAGAGTAAACCAAAGGTGAGGCATAATAAGCCTAACTGCGCACTAAATAACCAGCCCAACGGCAACTGATAAGTTCAAACGGGCCCACTAGGAATAGTAGTTAATCTTTTTTTTTTTGGGGGCCAAAGAATAATAGTTATTCCAGTCAGGCAATTTTGGTGGATTCAGTAGGATCTTCAGCGATTTCCATTTCCATTTCATTATTTAGATGGCGAGACCGTCTGAAAATAATGCAATGGCATTGGTTTTTTCCTGCGTTTCCACTTACTCTTCTTGGTCATATAACCACTGTTCGCGATATCCGTGAGTCATACTTTGGGACAAGCTCAAATGCACGTGTTTTCCTCGACAGCAAAACGCGGGGTGTCGGAAATAAGAAATATCTAGGGTTGGATCCGCCCAACAGGGGGGGAAAAAAACTTTCTTTTTAAATCTTAATATTCACAAAGAAAAACTGTCAGATTTTGCCCCGCTAAAAATAATAAACCCATGTTTCCTCTGGTTTGCCCCTTTCCTTTCCAGGGTTTTTATTTTTCTAACGGAAGTTGGTCTCAACTTTAATACTACAACTGAGGGCTCCAGTGAGCACGAGGCAGAATAATTCCCAGTATTTTATGAATATTAATTAATTAATTAATATCATTAAGTAGGAACACCGAAGTTGAAGAGTGTCAGCAGGACTTTGGGAACGAGCAGGTTTCAGTATGTATAGAGTGCTACGTAGCACATCTTCAATGCATTTTGTGCAACCTGATAATTTCATTTGTGTTTCTTAGGTGATACATTAAGTGGGTATTTAGAAAACTATAAAAATACTTTTAGAAAGTATTTTTTTTTAAATTGAAATAAACTCTTTTATATATTTATTTTGTATACTGTAAAATTATTTTTAAAACTATGATTTCGTTTTCATCCAAATACATCATAACATAAGCGTGGCGAGATCCTTGGAATCCACGAGTCAAAGGATTTATGGCTGCCACATTAGTTTATATTTAATTAGTTAGGCAGGTGTCACCGGTCTCCGCTTTGAATGACGATAACGCCCCCAGACAACTACAAGAGTGACAACAAACGTCACCTCTTGCGCTGATAGACTCTTGCCCCTTTCATGCAAACAGACAACACAACCTCTGCTCAACTCAAATTCCCAGTATCCCTCACATTTAGTTTATAGCTCCGATCATGCTAATTTTATAGCAATAACAGAGCTCATCTCTGCTTATCCACTTCACAGCACAAGAGAATATACAAATCTGATGGGTTTGAGGTACTTGGCTGGGTTAGGGCTGATTGGAGCATTTGTGTTGATATGGGTTGCTTCTGCAGAGATAACTCAGGTTTGGGTGTTTTTTATTTTTGGTTTTTCCGTTTTCTCCCTGTTCTTACTTTATTTGACTTAAATGACACTTTTCATGTGCTCTCTGGATCCGTTTAACTTCTTTTTAATATGTTACTTTGTGTGAGTACGAGATCAGAACTTTACAAATTAGTTGTGGTGAAACTGAAAATGTGTCAGTTAAGAAAATATAATATGGGCAGGCAGTTCGGTCCTGTGCGGTGCCCTTTTCAGACATGTGTTTCTAATTGTTTTCTTTGTAATTTGTTCTTACTTCTCAATAATTAACATCTGGAAATTTCTATTATATATGCTAAGATTGGTTATACTGAAGATGTGCTCTGTTCCTGCAGAGGATTTTTACAGAGTATAAACAGCCATTTGCACTGTGTTACGTTTGGATATCTTTGATGGCGATTCATTTACCTATTTCAGTCCTCAGACAGAAGATCTGCAAATTATTGAAAATGTTATATAGAAACCTTCACAAGAATTACTCTTCAGTCACCTCTTCCTCTGGATTTAGTGCCACTCTTGGAATTGAAGAGACTCACCAAGCGGCAGACACATATCTAAAGAACTGTTTACTTGTTGACAAGGAAATAAGTGAAAGAGAAGAGGGAAAGCCTTTTGTCAAGAAAGAGGAACCCCACTTGCTCCCAGAAAATTGTGAATATTCTTCCTGGGAAATTGCCAGGTGTGGCTTATACCTCTGTCCAATATGGTTTGCATCAGAGGTAACAACATTGCTGTGAATATCCTATTTAATTTAAAGATTTGGCTCTCTATTACCTTCCAAATTGTTTCTGGAGACTCAATATGCAAGGTGGCTACAGGTAGAAACAGAATCGTATTAATGTTGCCAAAGACAAAACATTGAACGCGTTGTTTCTTGAAAAACTTAGACAGTTAACTGTTATGAACAACTAAACAATAGGGGTAAACTGAGACATGCCTGTTAGAATTACAACCTAATCTCTCAAGAACATTTTCCCTATCTGATCTCATCTATGTTTGCTGCAAATGATTGGACTTGCAGTATATGTCAAACCTGGCACTTGCAAATACCAGTGTTGCGAGTACAACGGTTCTGAGCTCCACATCAGGTCTTTTTACCTTTTCTTTGGAGTTATTCTTGGTCAGGACTCAGTAAACATCACTAAGGTGATCGCTGTGCTGATCAGCATGTCAGGTGTTGCCATGACAACAATGGGAAAAACGTGGGCAGCAGATGACAAGGAGTAAGTTTGATGTTCCTGGACTTCTCCTATGATGTTTTATCTGACTTGTCAATATTAGAGTTGGCCCACCATGTTCATTTTCTGTTGTAATTATTCTTTCAAATTCTGAAACTGGGAATTGTTCTTGTTGGTAAGGGCTAGAAATCACTCTATCGCTGGGGACACTTTCGGTCTACTCTCCGCAATATTTTATGGCTTATTCACAGGTGTGACTATCAAACTTGCTGTCCGTTCTATAGTCAGATTGAATTGTGACTCTGCATATTGTATAATTAATCAAAGAGTCATCTAACTGCAGTGCTTCTCAAGAAATCTGCTGGAGCAGAAGGAGAAAAGCTTGACATGCAAAAGCTTTTTGGCTACATTGGTCTCTACTGTCTCCTTGGCTTTTGGTGGCTAGGTAAGCACATTACCCTCTACTATTTATTGATTGGAAAGTGTTCTGTGGTTGCCCTCTCCTGTTATAAGCGAGGATTCAAATTTCAGCCTCCTTTCTTTGTGGAACTCTGCTGATTTGAGCTCGTTGATGCAGCATGGCCACTAAGTGCTGTGGGTATTGAGCCTCCATTTGAACTTCCCAGTTGTTGGCCTACCGAGGAGATTGTGATTGCAAATGGGTTTTTGTCCAACATAATTTCAGATTATTTTTGGTGTGTTGAGCCCTCTCTATTATTAATAACCTTGATTTGTCGGGATTTGAAGTTTAATATCAGTGACTGATAAACATGATCCTTAAAATGAACAATGTGACAGGGCGCTTTCAATAGTTTGGACGACTCCTCTGGTTGCTACTCTGGGCATGTCATTGACAATTCCTCTAGCAATGATAGCTGACATGGCAATACATGGCCGCCAATACTCTGCAGTCTACATCCTCGGATGCTTTCAGGTATCGCTCCACGGCTCCACCCTTCTCTTCGGAACTCATCTCTTGCATTTATGACAAGTTTAATTTATGACTTATAAATAGTGCAAATTTCTGTATTTTTACTTTTAACATAATCTATATATTTACTTGTTGACTTTCCACTAATGTCCATGGAAAGCAGGTTTTTGCAGGATTTGTTCTGGCTAACCTTTCAGACAAATTCTCAAGAAAGAAGCCAGAGATTACCACATGATCGTTTGTGAAGCATAATTTGTATGTTCAACTGGACAGAAACTCGATGATGTGGCTAGAATTTTTAGTTGTAACTTTTAATTGTAAAACAGTATCATCTGACTTAAAAAGTTTGGAGTAGTGAGCACTTTTGTTCTCCAAAAAAATGGTTTATTATATATCTAATTGGACATCGACTTCGTATAAAAAGTTTGATAATTAGGTTGTGATATTTATAAATAGTATGACTTGTTATAGATTATATATATTTATATTGATTATACTGATTATCGACGTAAGTTTTTCACATCAAGCCATATTTCTTCAGGCTTGCAATTG